CTCCAACCTAAGAGAGCGATGGCCTCCAACCTAGAAGCAATGGCCTCTAACCTAAAGAGGGATGGCCTCCAACCTAGAAGCGATGGCCTCCAACCTAGAAGCAATGCCCTCCAACCTAAGAGCGATGGCCTCCAACCTAAGAGCGATGGCCTCCAACCTAGAAGCAATGGCCTCCAGCCGAAGAGCGATGGCCTCCAACCTAAGAGCAATGGCCTCCAACCTAAGAGCGATGGCCTCCAACCTAAGAGCGATGGCCTCCAACCTAAGAGCGATGGCCTCCAACCATGCTTGTTTCCCTCGCTAAGTTCACCCCTCACGGCCATGCCTGCACAACCCATTGAAAGCTGGGACGGGATCAGTCTGGCAGGCGAGGTCTGCGGTTGATTCCAGGACCGCAGGTTCAGTCCTTGGCGGGCATTGAAAAAATGCAAGAGTCACTTTTGCTGAAACAAAAAGTAAGCCTTCTCGCCAACGCTGAAGGTCTCTAGAAGTCTTCTTGTAAAGCCTAAAGCCTCACAAAATAAAATCAAAGTGGGCATCCCGTTGCATTGCCCTCAAAAAATAAAGAACCAGTGTAGAGACCCGCAGGTCTTGCAATGCCTGTGTGGGATTGCCAGATTTGGTGCCTGTTCCAAGACTTTGCAAACATCTTGCAATACACTGGAGATATAGTGGTTGCATCACAGGGTTGCTGAACCCCTCCACTGTTCGCTGTCTGGCACATGATTGTCCAAGAGAGACATAGAAAGATGCAAGTCCACAGCTGTGTTCCCACACCTGCATGTCCTGTACAGTATATGCACCACTGCCACTACTCGGCCTACGGCCCGCAGCCACAAAGAAAGGAAGAGAGAGAGGGAGGGAGCACTACTGCGTACAGCATGGAATGTAGACAGCCCCAACTACAAACACTGGTCAATTTGTGAGTTCGTGCAACTGTAACATGGTAGCAAAGATCCGGTTCCAGCTAGGCGGTGGGATTGGAAAGGACACAGTATGCAGTATACACTGCTGACTACACACAGCGGGAAGAGTGGAGTCAACGTTTGCAGGCGTAGTTGAAGGCTCACTGCAGCTGAAGAGTCGATCCGCGCCATCCGTGAAAGGAAAAAATTTGGCGTGTCGTTGGGGAGCGGGGTGATTGGCGGTATCCACGAGGCTAGGTATTGCATTGTTGCATCTACTCTGTGGCCCAGCGTGTGGCTTAATTATGTCTGCGATGTCGCTGCGCCATGCGGTTTTCGGTGGAAAGTGCGTTTGCGTTGAGTCCGTGCCCTTGGGGGAAGGAAAACATGCTGGTGTAAATTCGGTGTGTCGCTGGGGAGCGGGCCATGAGGCTTGGTGTTACATTGCTGCACGTCGTCTCTGGCACACCTTGTGGCCAAGTTACGTCTGCGACGTCACTGCGCCAGAGCCAGAGCGTTTCTGTGGTTTGCATGGGCCTCACGACATCCGGCATCGACTGGCAGGAATACTTCGCAGTCCGTGGCGTCGACAACAAAGGAGACGAGGTCAAGGTGGCTTGGTGGATAAAGTCGGAGAACATCGAACCGGCTCTCCCCAAAGAGATTCGACTCCTAAAGCCTAGGGAGTGTTGGGTAGGATTGGTCGCCCAAAGGTCATGGTTGATGACGGTGCATGGGGACCCTTGGCACTGGGCTCCTGAAAGCGGGAGCGTGTTGCCTCCTCGACGAGGATCAGGTTTTCGACATGGGAAGCGGCCCGGTCATGAACGGTATATTTCTTGTTCAAAGGAGAACTGGACATCAGACGGGGGTGGAGATTTGTAGGCTCATTATGAACCCCTCATTCCGTTCAACAGCATTTGCCAACCCCTGCAAGCGAAGAAACAAAAAGTCCACCCCCAAGCACTGCCACTCGGCCCAAGTCCACTCAGCCTCCGGTGTCACCTCCACCGTGACCAAGTGCTGCGCCATAATGTTTGGTCCGCTTGATGGCTTCAAACTGGTATGTATGTTGTCACACGCGAACTAATTAAGTCAGAGAAAAGGAACGACTGCCTCGACAGACCTTATCCCTTAGGTCTGTCCTTCCCCCCGTCGAGCTGAGAACGACGGGCAGGCGCCACTGCTTTTCATCCATCGTCCTGTCACAACAGCTCAAAGGCTCCCGAGCGCTGCGCCTTGGAGCCGATCTGGCAGATCCGATCTGGTTTCGGGCCTTGCTCATGAGGACGGCTCAGCCAGTCTGCTATTCCGTGTTCCACCTACCCAGTTAACCACTGGGAAGGCGACGCCAGCTTTCGCGCCATTGCCAGCGCCACAGTGCTGTCGCTCCGAAGCAGCACCATTGTTCTGCAGCTTGATGGCCCACCGGCGCGTTGCCACCGCCACTGCCCACGCTTCAAGTGGTCGCTGAGAAGCTGATTCGTCCCATGGGACGCCCAGCCAGGCGGCGTCGTCCTTGATCAGCTCCACTTCAGGCGCTTCCACAATGATCGGTGTTTGCGCGATGAGGCCCAGCTTCGGCCTCTGATCGAAATTTGGACCTTCGGAGTTCCTCCTCTTCCGACTGCTATCCGCAACGATCCCGTATAGGATGGTCACTGCCCACCTGGCCCTGCACAAAACGCCCGCCACCGGTGAGTTGTTGAGCCTCGCTGAGACTCACCATTCCCTTAAGTCCACACCTCCAGCGATTGTTGCAGCTCTTCCAACATGAGGCGCTACCTCAAATCGCACTCCGATCCACACCGGCTGGGAGCCTCACGACGCTTTGCGCCAGGCCACGTTGATTCCCAGCGCTCTCGCCGCGTACAGCAGCAAGGCTAAATTGCGTCTTCTCCTTGACGACGGCCCGTGCATGACAGATCGGATCATCCATGTAGAGCTGGCCCTGAAGCTGCAGCTCTGCTGCAGGCGTCAGAGATTGCCAGATTAAATCCTCGCCTAGCCAAACAAGCTGCGAAGCGACCCGCCAATAAGGGTGCGGCCTTAAAGCCGAACAACATGGCGGTCCACATCAATGTCTCCGATGGGCGCAATCCTGGGCTGAGGCAGTTGGCACGTACTGAGGCTGCCCGATGGCAGTAAGCGTCACTGAGGTCCGCTGTCACCAGCTCGAAGTCATAGATTCCACCTTCAGGACGGTCATGATCCACTGCCCACTGCCCTTCCTTCGCCATCCTCGGCGTTTGATCTCTTGTCTGCCACAAGAAGCGGGCGCGTGCATTGACCCGGCATGCTGCGTCGCCACCAGAACGGCCGTCCTCTTTTGTTTGAGGATCAATGCCAGCTTGGATACTATGCCCTTCTTGTGCCTCTCGCCGGCCACCATGGTTGGCAGCACCACTGCAAAGCCCTCCTCAACCATTCGCGCCCATCCACAAACTTCGGTTTCCCCGGGCACTTTGGTGACTTATAAGTTACTTATGAAGCTACTTAGCAAGTTATGTTTTTTTGGTACTTAGAACATTACTTATAAGTAGACCTGTAAGTAGGTTAAGTAGAAGTATGTGTTTTTCATGAAGATTTACGAAAAAAGAGAAAAAATGCGCGCGCAAGCGGTTTTTTCATTGCAGGAGCCACACACATCTGGTCCATCTTTACGCACGAAGAGTGCTTCACGCCTCACCAGAAGCCTGGACACCTCCACATCTAGCCGCGCCCCAGGAGTTTTGCGCACCCAGCGCGTGAAACCCGGCGTCTGCACGCCCGCGTAGGGCGACAGAACATTTGCTTCCAGCTTATTATTATGTTGGCCGTGCTCCACCCTTGCTCCCGTGATTTCCACAGCCATTTTGGATCCCAAGATGGAGATCTGACCCGGAATGAAGTCTCGCCCCTCAGCAGTTATCCCCAGCAGTTACACTCAAACAAGCGTGCGGAACGCAAGCGGCCTTGCTCTGCCGGAAACTTGTGGCCACACAGGCGGCACAAGCAGTCCGCAGCGCCCGCAGGTGCGTCTGCGTTAGCCATCACAGATGGTCAAATCTAGCGGGGTCGCGGTTGAGCCAAAGCAAAAACTGCAGTGATCTCATGTCAGCAACCCAAGCCAAAAACGTATCCGGAGACAAGGACAGCGGAACCAAAACCACGACAAATCCATGAAAGTTCGCAAGCGGCGGCGGACAAAGCCAAAACCAAGCATTTTGGCACGGCGGACATCGCGGACAACTGTTTTCTCGCAGATACGCAGCGTTTCGTCGTCCGCGGACATCCGCGGACAAGGTTTCCTCCTCCACAGGCTATAAATCCTAGGCTTCCGCGGACATTGGCGGACATCGCACAGAGCGTCCGTTTTGGCCGCAGACAACGGCGGACATCGGCGGACAAGCCGTTTTCGTCGGCCTCAGAGCAAAGTCTGCAGCCGCCGGCGCGCAGCCGACATCACCAGCAGTGTGCAGTTTCCAGCCAATCGTGCAGTTCTTCCAGACCTGCACGACGCACCAGCGGGATCAAATACATCAGGGCATCCGCAGCGGTGAACATTTCTTCCACGTGTAAGGCGGGGTTCATTGCCAAGGTCTGCCAACCATCCCGCTGGCTGACCGCGCAGCGGACTTCTTCCCCATCCTGTGGTACACCCGGAATCTCCGCCAGAGCTAAGGCGGTGGCAGCTCGTGTCGGCGCCAGTCTCGCTGCCAGGGCCGCACAAGACGACGCCATCCAAATGCACTCCCGCACATTCTCCCAAGTCTCCATGTGCACAGTCCTGCGGTCGGGCAAGGCGCTCTCGGCGTCCTTCATCAAAGCAGCCAGTCGAGTCAGCTCCCGTCCGGATAACACAAAGTCAGCCTGCGTGAGCGAGTCCAAAGCGGTGGAGGCGCCTCCTACTCAACGAAACGCGCCTGTAAGCCAAAACTGCCAAGAGCGTGAAATCAAAAATGTTTGCAAAATACACCTTTTTTAGTCACATGCTAAAAAGCATATTGAAAACATACAAAAAGCTAAGTAGGTTAAGTGCCACCGTAAGTAGAAACGAGGTTTTTGAACTTCAACATCATCCTACTTATAAGTAGGGCGGAAAGTAGCTATCTCCATCATAAGTAACCAAAAAAACACATGAACTTATGAACCACTTAACCTACTTACCAACCCACTTAACCTCCCTTAAGTACACTTACACTCTTACTTACAAGTCCACAAGTGCCGGCGGAAACCAAAGAAGGACTTGTATAGTGGCCACTGCTCCCAGCTGCTCCGAGAGCTCAGGGACCCCATCATGGTCCGTCTTTGGAAATACCCCCGAATATAGGGCATCGGGGCGCTCATTCCGAGCGGCACTCCTCGTCGAGTCCATGAGACCAAATCTCGTTCTGGATCACCAAGCTTCCCAAAGTTCCGGGTCCAGTAAGCTTTCGAATTCATACTTTCCCTTCAGCACGATGTCCTCGAAAGTCCTCGTGCCCAAGAAGTGCTTCATCGCGGCCTTCCAAGTCATCTCCATGTCCAGCTGACAGTTGCAGTCTCGCCACATCCTGTCCGACACTCTTCATCTTCGACAGTTTCTCAACTGCTTTGCCCGGGTTCCTGCACACCACCGATGTACCTCTCGTTTTCAATCTCTCTCCGGGCCTTTTTGGGCAAGCCTTTGTCTGGCTTGCATGTAATCCCGGAACCCGCCTTGGATCTTTGGTCTCGGAGCAACGCCAGTTCCTCCTTCGAAGCCATTCGAAGCCCATCTCTTCCGCTTCGCAAGTCGTCTATCGCGCTTTGACTGTCGCCTTCGATCTAGTCTGTCATCACCATCACCATGGCCGCAGCAAGTCCAAGAAGGTGGGCGGAGGCCAAAGCTTCTGCGGGTGGGTTGGGGGCACCATGCGCTCCACTCGCCATCCAAGCCGCTGGCGCTCATCCGCTCATTCCAAAACTTCTCATCCAGCGCCACCTCTCCAAAACATGCCGTCCAAAGGAGAGTCATCCGTGTATTCCCTCGGTGCTGCACTTCCCAAGGCCATGTCCAAGATTATCTGTCTTCTGGTTGTTTCTAGCTTTTCCGCTCTTGCTTTGTCATCTGCCTGCGCAATCAGGCCCCACGCTTTCGGCCACTGCAAGACTAACTTCTCGATGACCTTCTCATATTGCGCCAACGTTGCAATGTTCAAACAAATGCATGCCGTCTTGCACACCCTCCGACAAACTAGCCATGGTTGTAGGTTTTGGGACCTGGCAGCTCTTTCATCACGAAGGATCCGCCTCCAATTGGCATGAAGGCTCAAAATTTCTGATTCTTTTCAGCCAGGTTGCGAAGTCCACATAGGGCGCTTGCTTCAACACAAACTCCCTGTGATGTAGAGCTGCCAGCTGGGTGTCCGCTGCTTCTTTTTCATCTTATGGAGGAGCCCCCATCACTGCGATGTAGCATTGAGCCCATTCGTGCAACTTGTTCAACTCCGAGTCGTCCGTCTGGTCCAAGATGTTTGCCATCTTGAGAAGGCTCTCCTTGCTTGAGCTAGTACTAGTTGCTGCTCCTGCCCCAGCGGTAGCAGGTTCACGACCAATGTCTGGGTTCCAGGTCTTTGTCCACAATGTTCAGAGGATCGCCATTCCCCCTCAGGTGTATGATCCATCTTGCATTGCGCCAAACCAGCCCCACCTGCGCCGCCTGGATTGGAGAAAGGCCACCGGTCAGCCAAAGTAACTCTGGAACAAATCTCCGTCAGGGTCCAGGGGGGCACCGCAGTCAACAAACGAAGGTCATTTCGTGGATCTCCCGCTACCGCACAAAAGGAGTCCCAAACCGCGATGTCCACGCGAAGTACCCTCAAGAGGTCCGGGACGGTGTGGCACCCCACGGCTTCTTCCCTAACCAACAGGACCATCAACCAGGGGGGGCGCGCCCAAACAAGAAGGCCTCTATCAGGCCTTAAGCATTATGAGGGCTAGGGCAAGCAAGCAAGCAAGCAAGCAAGCAAGCAGTGATACATTTGGACATCACTTTTATCACTACCATAGAGGAGAAGAAAAACACTCGAATTGACTTGACAACAAGTATGTGTATGGCAACTGGCAACACTCATACATGACCGAACGCAACACTTTCAATACCTGGTCCACTGCATCCACGCCTTCGTATGAATAATTCCCAAAACACAAGCAACACCCACATTGACCTGCTGAAAGCGGAAGTACTCCACAGGCGGAAACATCTTTGTCCAACAAGCATCAGCATTGAGAGATTCCATTGAACACTGGTTGGACAGATTCAAACATTGGGAGCACAACTACAGGACAACTATGATGGCAGCATACACAGCAACTAACCACTGATGCCATGAAGCGTCCATGATGCAGTATATCTACTCAACAAATACTGGCCCACGGCCCACAGTGGCGGCAACACCAGCTACTGAAAAGAAAGGAACAAAGAGGACACATCTTGCCTGGCAAAAGCAGAAACTCATGGTACCAACAGCCAAAGCACTGCTAAAGCTTGAACAGTGATTCTTCGAGGGAATATGACACTGCAACAAACGAGCACATCATTGTCTATTTTTGACACAAAGCATGGACATCTTCACAACACGACAATCCATCTTCTCCAGGCACTGCTGTATAGCAACTCATCACAATCGAAAATAATATTGATAGAAAGCACAACAAAAGGCTTCATCCTTCCCACCCTGCTGCCCCATGCAAATTCGTCTGTTCAACAGCGGTGTTGAGGCATTGTCTCCAATCGCTGCGAGTCGAGTATGTCTAGGGCACTGACTGGGAGTCCGCGTCTTTCATATCTTTGTGCAACATATCCGGGAGCGACTCGTCTAGACCTTTCGACACTTTTCCCACAGAGCACATCAAGTTGCTGGGAATAAATCTGCAATTATGCTAATTATCTATTCTTGAACAAGTGCGTGAACAAAACTTCAGGAGATTAAAACGCGTTCTGCAGTTTCAGGTGGCTTCTCCATTTCGTTTGGTCGACAGTCAAGCAGGCTTTGGGGCGGAGCTGGCGTGTGTGCACTCACTTGGAACCGTTTGGCAACTTGAAATAGAAAGCCAAGTCTGCTTGTTTCACTCCAAGGCACTGTAGACCAAACTTTCTGAAAAGAGTCGACTTTCACGCAGGGATGGCGATCTCTGACTCTTCAAGCTAGGAACCCTGACGCAAATTCCATCTCTGAAAGCACTTCAGAATGTTGCAGGAAAAGGCATGTTGAGCCTCCTGTTTGCAACAGCGCAAAGACACAATGACAATAGCCCGGTAGCAAAAATGACGAACCTTGCCTGATCATACTGAGAGTCTTGTTGCTCACCGTGTCGCTGTTCAAACCCAGCGAAGAATTTGTAGCAACCTGAAATTGTCATTTAGCTGACACCAAGAACAGCTTGGATATGTCACCAATTCTGGAATTTTGTCTTGCTCATCCCTGGTCTGCTCCTTTCTGGGTTGGGACTAGCGCTTCAATTGAACACAATATCTGGCCACGTGGGAAAGGGGCCCACTTCTTTCCAGCTTCGGGGCAAAATGCAAATGCAAGATTGTTAATCAGAAGCCCCGTTTGATCGCGTCTCCTAGGTTTGTTGGTATTGTACCATGGCCAACATCAAAAGCAGGCACTTTGGAAGGGAGTCGAACCCTTTAGAGCTTGTCCTGAAAACAGAATTGATATCGTCTTCTTCTTCTTCTGTCCAATACCAGGACATTCCCACCCCCTTCCATTGCCTTGACAACGCGTTTGCGCCGCTGTTGCAAACTTGTCAGGCTTGGCATAGGGTTCAAAGCCTTGACCATGATTGCTGGTGAACTCCTGGAATATTTAGAGACAAAAAGAAGGTCCAAGTCCAAGTATCCAAGTATCGAAAGACTAGAATGTGGTCTTGGGAAAGAAGGTCACGGTTGTATTCGGACACTGGGACGGTTTTATTCGGAAACTAATCAGTCGTATTCGGAAACTGGTGTTCTGAAACTACAGCGTGGGATTTGGAAACTAAACAGTTGCATATGGAAACTTGGATGGTTGTATTCGGTAACTGGAGGGCTTTATTTGGAAACTGGACGGCTGTATTCGGAACTTGTATTCGGAAACTACATATCTATATTCAGAAACTGGTAAAGTTGGAGAATGATTGGTAATAGGGCCCTCTATAATGCTACTTGTTTTAAACATACTTCTTGACGCCCTGTTTGACTTCCAGAAACCAGCGCTGTGAGCGTGTGTATTTTTCAGTGTTACTTATGCAGAAGAAAATCTAAGTATTTCCGATGCACGTGAGAATATGTTAATACCACAGACCTAGAGAAAATACAAAAATATCAAAAATACCAAGAATACCAAGAGGGAATACCAAAAATATCAAAAATACCAAAAATACCAAAGACCTATATAGAGGAAATATTACTCAGGTGGCCACCTATGTATTTGGTATGTTTGATATGTTTTGTATATTTCTTTGTTATTTTTGATATGTTTTGTATATTTCTTTGGTATTTTTGATATTTGGTGTATTTTTGGTATTTTTTGGTATTTGGAGGGAGGGCAAACTATTCCTCTACAGGATTTGCATTTCTTGTATGGTTGATATGTTTGGTATTTTTGGTATTTAGAGGGAGGGCCAACTATTCTATATACAGGATTGGTATTTTTGGTATGTTTGATATTTTTGATATGTTTTTGTATTTGGAGGGAGGGCCAACTATTCTTCTACAGGGTTGGTATTTATTTTTTGCATGTTTTTGTATTTGGAGGGAGGGCCAACTATTCCTCTACAGGATTGGTATGTTTGGTATTTGAGGGGGGGCTACTGTTTTCTTGTTTTTCTTTTGGAGTTGCTCTCCTGATATCATATGTGGCTAAGTGTGGTCTAAACGGCTACGGGTCGCCATACTTATATATATATAGGTGGTACTTGGTAACGTTGCAGTGTACTTGCTAAGGTTAGCTAAGTGTTGATAAGCTTTGCTAAGTGCAAGCTAGGCTTTGCTAAGTTTGCTACCGTTTGCTAAGTTTTTGTAATGTTTATATTCTCTAACAGAGCGGGCTCTTTTCTTTTGAGCTCTAGCGGCTTGGTAGCCACGAGTGAGTTTCATCTCTACATGTGATACCACATGGAGGCGTGCAGTGCACACTTCTTGACTGCACAGTGTTACACTCCTCCTTTGGAACTGGTGTTCTAACCAGCTTCCAACTTCCTAACACTCAGTGCTTTGCGAGGTTCGTGAACTCTTGCACTGATTGCTTCACAAGCGTTGATTGCTCAGCGCCTTCGTCTTGGGCCAGCAGCTTCTGCCTGCTCAACTTGCCGTCGTAGAGCTTCTCTCTCAGCACTGCCCTCCTTTCTCTCACATGGTCCATCCATTCTCGTGTTCCCAAGGCCCAGCCATAGGATTCAGGGATCTCCTCTTCAGGTTCAGGCTCGTAGTGAAGCCTTCTGATCAACCATTTTCCACCTATCTCTCATCCAGTTGGGATCCTCGATGAAGTACTCCTCGCCATCTTGAGGTGTGTCGATCGTGAGGTCGAGGAGTCGGTGCATTTGGATCTCACCTGTGTCTGGGTTCATCCAGAACACAATGCCAGGCATGTTGTACTCCATGTAGCACTCTGGGTGTTCACCCAGCTCTTCCAGCAAGCCTGCATGTCGTCGAAGTTCTCGAACTGCGTCCGTCACTTCATCGCCAAGCTCTCGTTCAACACGTAGAACTTGTTCAGATCCACTGCCTTCAGGTTCTTCAGCAGGTTGGTCTGCTGCAGGTTCTTCTTCTTCTGAACTTTCTTCACTCAAGCTTCCAAGTCCACCATGGCGTTCTAGACGTCCATCCACGTCCAAGAAGTACTCTTCGCCAGGGAAAGCTTGTGATCGATCTCGAAGAACTCTGTAGGTCGCCATCTCTTGACCAATGGGGTCCCAACCTTCAACTGTTGCGATGACATCATCATCGTCCACATCCATGGCGTCCTCTGTGAACTCGTCTTCTGTCGGTTCTCCGCCAGAAGTGTAGGCTGTCTCCGTGAGGTTCTCGAGTTGCGGTTCTTCTTCTTGCTCTTGTTCTTCACCTTCTTCTTCTCCTTCAAGTAGTAGGTGGTTGACATCTCCACCTTCAGGTTCATCCCATAGTTCTCCGTCTCGATCACTTCCGCGAGCTTCCGGATCATGTCCGGCTGGTTCTCCAAAGAGACTGAACCTTGTCTGCTTGACTTTTCGTTGTTCTCCTTCTCGGTGAGGATCGTGAGGAGGTGAGGTTTCTCGTTGAAATTCTCCTCCACCTTGAACAGGTCGTAGGTTGAAGTAGTCCCTGAGGTAGAACAGGATGAAGACCATCACGTTGAATGCCACCATCATCATGCCAGTTTGCAAGATCTGGTAGCCCATCTCGGTCAGGAGAGACCATGCTCCAATCGAAGCCGAATGAAGCACCGTCAGCGCTAAGTCGCAACCTTGCACACTAATAGCCAATCCCATGGCTACAAACAAAACTGCATTTGCCGTGAAAACCATCAGGAAAATTTCACGGTCGCTGTCACTACTGGTCGTCTCTTCGACTTCCATTCCGTTGCCCTGCTGACTCAAAGCCGCCAAAAGCAAACATGTCAGTTGTTGTACTCTTTCAGGTCTAAGCCCTTTGACATGTCGAATCTCTTCTTCTTGGGCTCCAACTCGTGGTCCACCAGTGTACTCCAAGTAGTCAATGAGGCCTAGCAAGAATCTCAGTCTCTTGCAGCTGTGACTCTTCGTTCCCAAATCGCTGCTGTTCTCTTTTCCCGGCACAGGTCGAATTGCAGCTTCTCGTTCTTCCACTTTCTGCTGCACCCACAAAAGTCCAGTGCCTATGTGTCGGGTTCTCTGAACTCCTTGTCATTGGAGTAGAGCTCGAGCAGAGGAACTGTCAATCCTCAGCTCCAAGACAACCTTCATGTTCAGCACGGCCTCCAACATTCGCTTGATGTAGATCCCATCTGCCATGCCCCTGACTGCTGAAATGAACTCAGCTTCACAACTTGACAAAGCTATACTTTTCTGGCTCCTGCTTGCACTCCAAAAGAAGATGCCGTTGAGGTACATGTGACTGCATGACATAGATCTCCTTGTAGTCCTGTCCGAGGCCCAGTCACTGTCCGTGAAGACTTCGAGTAGGCTCGGATCCATTAGAAGCAAAATGCCTCTTGAGGAATGCGCATTGCCCTGCAACCTTGGGTGAGCAGGGTCATTGCACTTGCAGTGTCCATTCCTGCTTTCTGAAGCTATCAAGGAGCTTCTCAACATCTTGTTGACTTCCAACTAACTGTCAACGTGTGAAGACATCGCCAAGGGTGTCCTGCCAACCTTGTAGAAGACTGCGGGGTTTGCAGGGTATGGTTGTAGCCCTTGGTCTCGAGCCACTTTGCCAAGTGGTCATACCATGCCTTGGAACCAACTCGTTGTCCAGGTAGGCATCGTCCAAGTTCAACGAACTCGCCATTGCACTCCACATAGACCTTCTCCTTGGGCGACTGAACCAAGGCTGCCCACAATTTCACTCAAATTGCATTGCTTGATGGGCTGAACAAATTCTCCATCTCTGGAGAGAGAAACTTGAAGTCTCTTCCAACTAGTCTTGACCGTCTCATCCAGCCAAACTTGCCAGTCTCTTCTTTCAGGCGCCATCTCCAGTCATAGACCTTCTTGGTCGTCATGAACCTGTAGCCCTCAAAGTTGCCATTCTTGGGAATGAGGACTCCCATCTCCTTGAGCCTTGTGATCTCGCGCTCGTCCGCCTCCAGCTCCAATAATTGCGCCAACATCTCTTCAGAGACATCTGGAGGTCCAGCTTCTTCAGATTCCTGCTCCAGGTCAACTTCATTATTGAACTCGCCCCAGTCCTTGAGGTCCACCAAAGGGTATTCGTCCACCTCGCTCCTTCAGCTTGACAGGTCGTCCATCAGCTGCTATGCAATGCAAAGTCATTGCCACTTTCCCTTCAACAGGGATCATTCTGCCTTGAGCATCTCGAAGCAATGCTCCACCTTGGGTCCTCTTGCCCAAGCTACCCATGTTCATGGGCACCACACTCACATCTGCACCCAAGTCGAGTACAGCGTTGTAGTTCAGGTCCAACTCACACGTGGCCTGGATCTCAAGGGTCTCAACCTTAGAGGTCTTGAGGGTGATGAAGTCCACGTTCTTGAAGAGGTCGTTGTAGTCCATCTTGTAGTCGTTGAGGTCGATCTCGTGGGTGAAGTCATCCTCCATGGTCCAGAGTCCAGTAGTCGTCCATGTCGGTCTTGGTGAGGTCAAAGTGCTCAACCATGTCCTCCTCAGTCACCACCATCTGAAAGCCTTCAGTGAAGCTCTCCTCAATGTCAATCTCGCCTTCTTCTGCAAGATCAAAATCTCGCAGGTCTCAACCATGGGAGGTGTCTTCTCACCGTGCCAGCGCTCCTGTAAGAAGTACTGCTCGGTGCTGTGCTTGCTGAAGACAATGAAGTCCTCGTGGAAGGTCCAGAAGGTTGCCCTCCACGATTTCCTCCATGATCTCCCTGATCATTCCCTCCAACTTGCTCCACGTTGCCAACACTCAGCTGCTCTGTGGCCTTGTTTGCCACACACAAAGCAAGGTCCCTTGGACTTGCCTTTGCCTTTGTCTTGGCTCTTGCCGCCACCTTTTCCTTTGCCCTTCTCAAAAGAGCTTTTGCCTTTGCCCTTGCTCTTGCCTTTGTCACCCTTGCCTTTGGGTGAACCTTTCTTGCCTTTGCCCTTGACTTTGCCT